TTTAGGTTCAATCCCAGGGCGGATTCTTTGGTCTGATTTGGATTCTCTGGTGCGCTGCATTTGGTTGATCCGGGGATCCCTTGATTCGGGTTCTAGAGAGGTTCCTCCCTTGCTGATTTCTGGGGCGCCTTGGTCTGGACTGAAAACCACATTCTACTGAGGATGAGGCGGAGCGGGGGAAACATTTTTGCCCCAACTACCGTTTTGCCCATTCCGTCGCTGGTAGGAATGTAGGATAATTCAACTTTCAAGAACCGGATTTGCGTAGTGCCCTGGTCATCACCTGGGGATTTGGGGGCTGCATTGGAAAGATTACCATGGTGCTGAAGTGCTGCTTTTGAGGTAGTATAATGGGTTTTATTGTTTTTTCTCTCTCTCACTATATGATACAGTTGCTTGATCAGATGTTGGAATTGGGGAAAGGTCTCGCTTTGCTGGTTCCTTTTCTCACTCTGGTGTGCCTGCTTATCTGCTGGCACAGCCCCTGCTTGCTTTAATCATAAGACTGCTTGCTTTAATCATGGCACAGGCTTTCAAGAAATACACTTTGACCATTGGCTCTGATGTGTTGTCAGTGTTTAGCGCTTGAGGTTGTCTTGTGAACCAACAAAAGAGTTTCTTTGCCTTATTTCCCTTGCTGTATGATTGGTTGGTTCTTAGACCTGTGCCATGTCCTACTCTGATGTTTTCGATCAATGTCAATTGCTCTGCCCTTTTATCTTTTGTTTACCAGATTAATTATCTGCCTGAAATGGCTATTGTGAGGCTGTGTAATGTTCCAGTTCAGCTCAAGTTGGCTGCAGATGTGACCAACTTTTGTGGACGGTGGACCTATATTGAGTATTTAGTTATTGTCTTATTCAAGTGATCTGAAGTTTGATTTAGGTCAATGCTGTTAAATTCATTTCTGCATCTGCATTTATATGTTCTGCAGTCTGACATATATTGTTTTTTTTTTCTGTTGATAGGATCAGAGGAGCAAAGACCTGCTTATCATAAGCAAGATTTCTAATTGGTGGAAGCTTTTATCTGTAGTTGGACTGTGATGAATTTACTGGTCTCTAGTATACAGTAGGGAATCTGCAGTTTAGTGGAACTCAATGGGTTCTTCTCCTTCCAAAGCCACTGGAGAGGATGCCCTGGTTCTTTGCAAGGATCGGATGCGCCATATCAGACAAGCCATTGACTCAAGAGATGCACTGTCAGCAGCGCACTTATCTTACACACAATCCCTCCGTACTGTGGGTACTGCATTGCGGCAGTATGCTGAGTCTGAGATCTCACCAGAATCATCACTCTCCATTTCAGAAGTGGATAAGTCGCCATCACATTCCTCTATGGCATCTCCCTCGCCTTCGCGTGCAGTAGAGAATCTTGCCTCTCCGGCGCATCGAGCAAGTCCATTGTCTACTCAGCCCTCAACAAGAATCCATTGCATGAAAGCAGCAGCAACCACTCCTTTGACCTTTGTGATTGATCCATCTGCTGCTGAATTTGTGGGGCATGAATCTCCAGTCTCAGCTTTTGTCCCACCCCCGCCACCATTGCCTCCAGAATTATGCACGTCGTGGGACTTCTTTGATCCCATTGATGCTGCTGGTAGCTCTTCCTCCAACAATGAGAATGGGGTAACCCTGAACTTCAGTAGATTGAAGGGTCTAAGTGAGTCACGGGTAGCTGAAGTAGTTCCATTGAAAGAAGGTGAAGAAGAAATCATGTCTGACAGAAGGCATACAGAGCTTCCTGATGATAATGCACCATCTAAGCAGGAAAGAGAGCCAAAACAAGGTGGGACTAGGAAACCAAGTCAGTTGGTGGATACTTCAACCAAAGCTACTTCAGAGCAGGTTGCTGCAAAGTTGGAGGAAAGCGAAATGGAAAAAGAATTATGTGCAGAGGCAGAGGATCCTTCAGAGTTCATCACTCATCGAGCCAAAGATTTTGTGTCGAGCATGAAGGACATTGAATCCCGGTTTATGCGTGCAGCTGAAGCAGGAAATGAGGTTTCCAGAATGCTTGAAACCAAGAAGATCAGACTTGACATATGTGCTAAAATGCCAGGTGATAATCATGTGTTACATATATCTTCTATGTCTTTTTCAGGATCGTGTCAGCATCTTTTTAATAAATTTTTAATTTGTTTTATTACCCAAATTATAGGTTCTCCAGGCAAGCTACCTACTGCTCGATTTGTGTCAGCACTTCGAGTGTGCTGCAATCGTGATGTTATTCTCAACCAGGGTAACTGGAGTGTTTTCACTATTCTCTTCCCTATCATAATGTTTTCCTGAAGTACTAATTTTAAGTGTCTCTGTAGAAACTGCACAGCATGTCTCAAAGGTTGTCACATGGAAGCGTTCTGTCTCATCTCTTTCATCATCATCTAAGAGTGCACTTATGACATCAATAATTAAAGATTATGTGGATGACAGTAATAGTGATTTTGTTGAGGAATTCGCCATGGTATCTGGAAGCCACTCTTCTACGTTGGACAGGCTACACGCATGGGAGAGAAAACTATACGATGAAATCAAGGTACATCATAAATACATATTCAGCAAGCTCATCAAATATGCTGTCAATCTCAAACCTTTTGCTAGCCTCATGAATACCTCTACATGGAATGCCTGTTCTTTTATAGATGTCAAGTAAAAACTGGTGTGTTTAATCTTGAAGCGTTTATGACTTTACTTTTGAGATAAGTCGTACATTGTCACAAGGGTTGATAAATGAGAACATGTAACACATGATCTTTATTAATATTGCATTTTTTAATCTAATAGTTCAAATGTAGTTTGTAGATCGTTTATTGTGTGCTAAGTGCTAACTACTCTCTCTATTCCAAATTATAAGACGTTTTGGCTTTTGCTATGCACTTAGATATACACTATGTCTAAATACATTGTAAAAACAATGTATCAAGAAAAGCCAAAACATCTTATAATTTGGAATGGAGGGAGTAGCAAAGAAACTAGGGTGTGGGCTATGAGGTGTTTGGACACTTGCTGGGCATAACGAATCATTGTTACTGTCTTACCACCTTACTTGGTTTATGTAGGCAAGTGAAAATGTTAGAAAGGCCTATGATGAGAAATGTAACCTCCTCCGGCGCCAATTTGCACGAGGCCTAAATGTGCAGCTGATTGATAAGACTAGAGCTGTTGTGAAGGACCTCCATTCCAGGGTATCTGTTGCAATTCAAGCTGTTGATGCAATCTCCAAAAGAATTGAGAAGATAAGGGATGAAGAACTGCAGCCACAGCTTGTCGAGCTAATTCAAGGGTATATACCTGATAGACAGTATTTCATTTCTTATACCACAATTTCGAATGCAATCTTCCTGTTTCATTTTTTTCGGCATATGTTAGTAAAGATTTTTTTTTCTCGAACACATAGGAGAGTTGCATGCCATTCCATTAATAGGTACAAAATGGTCAATTACATGCCGATTCCACAGCTCTGGTTAATATGACACCAAGTTTAGTAAATTTTTTAACAGTCAATATCACTCCAAATTTATTTTTGGAGAATGATAGTACAATACTGAGAATCAGAAGATTATAGTTCACAACCTAATCTCAGAAATTACCTTGTTTTGCTGAAACATTCTGATGGCTCATAATTCTACCTTCAGTCTTAGCTGATCAAAATCCTGTTTTTGACATTTATTGTCTACTAACCTTGATCTGACTTCATATAGGCTAATCAGAATGTGGAAATTGATGCTGGAATGTCACCACAAACAGTTCATCACGATCACATTGGCTTACCATGTGAAAAACTCAACCCCGGTGCATCAAGGTGAGCACCGCCGCCAGGCGGCAATGCATCTGTGGAATGAGATGGACAGCTTCTCCTCCAGCTTCAGAAACTGGGTCACTGCTCACAAATCGTATGTCGAGGCCCTCAATGCATGGCTCCAGAAGTGTCTCCTGCAGCCACCCCAGGACCGACGCAGGCGCAAGCGCAAGGTCTCCTTCCCTCCTCGCCAGGCCGTCTCCCCTCCCATATTCATCCTCTGCAGGGACTGGCTCGCCATGACAGAATCTCTCCCTGCTGACGAGCTATGCAAGTCCCTCAAAGATGTGATGCAGCTCCTCCGTGACTCGTTTGAGCACCACGACGAGCAGAACAAGCCCAGAAGCGAGTCGCAGGAATGTGGGATGCTGGAGAACAATAGCGAGCAGGAGGCGGCGAAGAGTGGGAGTGTAGCATCAGCTGAAGGGCTGCAGTCGAGACTAACGGCGGTTCTTGACCGCCTGACAAAGTTCTCAGAGGCATCACTGAAGTGCTACGAGGAGCTCAAGCAGAACTATGAGATGGCCTGTGCTGACTATAAGAGAGTTGGACCAAATGCTCAGCTTGCTTAGGATTATGTTGATTGTGGTGTTTGACTTCTTCCTATCTGTTCTGGATGACAAATTCTAGTGTTTTGGTATATATTTTGTGAACAATCAGGTTATAGTACAATCTTTGGCCTAATATTACTGATTTAGTGTTATCAGTTATGTATGCCGGAGTGTTGGGCAGATTTTAAGCTTCATCACCTGCCCTGATGCTTGGAAAGGCATATGAGAAATGTTTTCACAAAAGATATAGCAGGCAAGATATCATGATTTCTGCGCGCATGTAATCTCCTCAATTTGCAGCTATGGCATAGGTACCGGCATTACTTTTTACAAGAGTTCTGCAAGCATGTAATCTCATACTCACCTTGCAGCAATGGCATAGGTACTGGCATTATTTTTTACAATGATGGAGAATAAGCGACGTCATATGAAATTTATCGAACCAAGTGAAAATTAAGTATAAATAGCCATTTTTAGCTCACTGATAAAAATCTTCATTCAAAACAAATTGAGCCAAAAAACAATCTGACAATTTATTCACAAGGAGCCAGTGCTTTACAATTACTGTTGACATATACTAGTACTGAAGCTTATTTGCTCATCTATCTACATACCTTATATATGAACTTATCCGACCTTGTATATACTCTACTAGAAGCCAACATACTGGGTGTACTGTGCATAGGCCTCCGATTGCATACCAATTGGCGCACGGATGATGAGATCTGGAAGGTCAAATGCGTCGATGAGTTCTCGTGCCACTAGCCTCACTTGGTAACTGAGGTAGTCTGTCAGCTTATGAATAGCCTGCAGACATACAAGGGAGTACTGCTGTCAGGTTCTGGACTTCAGGTTACAGTGTGAAGCTAGAGCTAAAATTGCAGTATGAGATGAGACCACACACCTTAGCTTTGTTTGGGGCAACATAGTCCACATTCCGATATGTTCCAATATCTTTCCAGATCCTGTCGAGCGCATAAAGGTCACATACCAGCTTCAATGCTTCCCGTGTTTTTTCATCAGGGCAACTGCATATATGCATTGTAAGTGGTTGCCAATTGTGGTCATAATAAAGAGCCAGAATATTTCAAAAGAGGTATGAAACATCTGAATGATGAGTTGCCTTAGATATAGTTTAACTTCAGTTTATTTGTTGTGGTTTGCCCGTTCAGTAAAACAGAAAAGCTAGGATAGCAAGGCTTAAAACAAAAAAGGAGTTCCAAGTAGCTAAAGTCCGGTGTCCATAACAGAACAATATAAAGAGCTAAGCACTCCCTGGGTTCTGCTATTCAGTGATTTTGTGGCTGATTCAAAAAAAGAATTCATTCGAAGCACAAAGAATCCGAACCAAAGCGGGAGCAAAAATGCAATCAGAAGAAACTCACTAGAAGAATTTACCTTTTCACTGATTCAATGAACTTTGCAAGGATGACAGACTCAATGTGTGATTCTGCAAGTGTAAGCAAATGATTCAAACATCTATTCCACGCACCAAAACTTCCAAGTGTCTTGCTATGTTTCTGTAGCCGAGCAGCGACACTATGTAGCAACCGAGATGTTCGGTACTGAGAAGAAAGGTTGCCCAATCAGTACTGGAAGTGAACATGAGAGAACTCTCAGTAACTAGGAAGAAATGACTCACTCTGAATGCATCCAGCTGGAAATTAGGATCCCGCAGATGATCTTCGCCCTCCCATCGGGCAGTGACAGGATTAGGCTGGGCCAAGTAAGTACCCATGGAGTCTCTCAAGTAATTCCAGGTAACTGAAAGTGTCCCTCCCTTAAATTTCTCCTGGTATTGCTTCAGGAGATCTCCAGCAACCTACAAGAGCATGAGAAGATGCACATTGTTTAAGGAAAAGTAACTTCATAGCATTTTTAGAAACTGATCCCAACTTCCCTTGAGCTCAGCTTATTTCAGAAAACATGCCCGTCAAATATTGTCAGTCTGAAAACAAGCCATCAGCTGGCTTTTATGAAGGATGTTGATCAGTACCTGCTGCAGAAGAACAGTGTTGTCGCCCTCAAATGTTTGGAATATATCATGGTCATTGCGCAGAGCTCCAAAACGATTTACAGCAGCATAGCCATGGCCACCACATGCTTCTCTGCAGATGCTTATAGACTTCGCTGTATATGAAGTTATGTAGGCTTTCAACCCAGATGAAAGAACATGTACATCAGCAATAAGATCCTCATCATTGGTTTTCTTCATTTCCGAGTACTTATCCACTAACATTACCGTGGCAAAGTGAAATGCATATGACGATGCTAACATGGGCATTAATTTGTTCTGGTGAGACTGATAATCCAACACGCTGATCTCAGGCTGCTTAGGTGGACCGAATTGGTGGCGCAGAAGAGCATACCTCACAGCAATTGTTACTGCGACTTTGAGAACACCCACAGAACAATATGCAATGCCAACTCGACCACCGACAAGCTCCCCAAGGGTTGCTGCAAATCTTTTGTTAATTGTGGGCAGACTGCTTGTGTATTTTCCATCCCGTGACACATCACCAAATCGATTCAGAAGATTATCTCTGGGTATCCTAACTGAGCGGAATCTCAGTGCACCATTGTCTACACCATTAAGGCCAATCTTGTGCCCACAATCATTGATCTCGATTCCAGGAAGAATAGCATGAGTTTCATGGTCCCGTGTGGGGACGATAAATGCATGGATGCCCATATCAGCAGGTTCCCCTCCTTTTCCTTGAAGGGGTAAAATTAACCTTGCAAAAACAGTAGCAAATTTTCCATGAACCGCAGCATTGCCAATCCACCACTTAATAGCTCCATCATTTGGGGTGTTAATAATGAATTCATCAGTGACAGGATCAAATGTAGCGGTAGTCTGTAGGGCTTGGACATTCGATCCTATTTGCAGGAAAAGAGTAATAATGGTAAGGGGAATTTAGTGTCAATTATTTTGAATATGTAACAGTGCGTTAGGTGCTGGGTACAAGCCCTACTGTGAGCCATTCAAAACAAACAACGCAACAGTACTGAGACACTGTAGCTGTACTGTACGTTGATAAATTGCTAAGCAACAAAAGAATAGAGACAGCACTAATTAGTGGATATAAATAAGTGGAGAACCTAACCATGATGTAGTTCTGTCATTGCAAAACAGCCTGGATAATCCAAATTGTCAATTCCATCAAAGTACTTATCTCTGTGCTTTTTGGTTCCTAGATTTATGACAGAACCACCCCAGAGGCTGCATTAGCAAGAAGGTTAAGTTAGTAGTACATTTTTTCATGGGATTGAACAAATCATTGTCCTGAGTAATTAATGCATCTTCATGGTAATATGTTAAGCAGGCCCCCATTCACAAAAAGGGGACTAAAATCCTATGTACATCCAAAATAAAAAATTTCATCACAGTAAAAGAAGGGGAAATAATGGAAAGGAAAAATATCTCAAACTCTGTTTTCATAAACTCTATCCCTGAAAACCACTCGCACTAATACAGGTGAGGCTCTGATGGAGAATAGTTCAATTCAGATACTGATAGACCCAACCTCGCTCTCACAGCAGTAAGCATCCTTAGAATCCTTTTGAATGTGACAACAGATTGCATGTGAAGTCCATAAAGAAAAGGTTGCTAGGTATTTGTACAGACAGCTGGATCGGTTCAATTGGCCCATAAATTAGGTAGCATGGTCTATGTACCCTGTCCCCTATGATCGGTCATGTTATATAGAAAATTTACGGCTTTCTTTAAAGCAGGCAGACAAAAGTCATACAGCCTAAAATGTTATAACGAATTGGAAGTGCAGGCAGATAATTTTTGTTCGTAACCGTCATTACCTACCAAAGTTAATTACCACGTATTTTTAGCCGTAAGCCCTCTACAGTGCTGATTAACCAACAACCAACACCAATGGACACTGATCTAACTCCACCACCCACCGACATGAAACATGTGGACTGTGGAAGCATCGCTATCAACTGAAACATACAAATTACTCTACCAAAGCAGCCAAGAACCCAAGATCACGAGGGGCGACGCGATCCTAATAACACCCACCTACCTGTACTGGACGCCGAGCTTGACGCCGAGGGAGATGTCGGCCCCGCCGGCGGCCTCCATGACGGCGAAGTACTCCGCGGGGTCGCTGTCCATGAGCGTGAGCGGGCGCACCCCGGCCTCGCGCACGAGCGCGCACAGCTGGCGGTAGCAGAGCTCGCGGTGCGCGGCCGTGGCCAGCTCGACGGGCGTCTGCAGGTCGGGCCGCGCCCGGAAGAAGTCGAACAGCCGCATCTGCGTCGCGCGGTGCCGGCCCCGGAGGTACGCCGCGAGCGCAGCCGCCACGTCCGCGCCCCCCTCCACGCGGCGCGCCCGCCCCCCCGCGCACGCCGCGAGGGCCAGCTGATCGCCTGGGGCTGGTGGGGCGGCGGGCTGGAGGAGGTGCAGGGAGAGGCGGCGGAGGCGGCGCATCGCCGAGGACTCCTCTCCCGCGGCGGAATCGCCGGCGTGGGTCGCCATGGGCGCGCGCGCCGCGGAGGTGCTCGACGAAATCGCAGGGGTGGATGCGTGCGCGCGAAGGTAAGGAAGACGGGGAAGTGGTGCCGTTACGGTAAAGACGGTTTGGCTTTAATAATGGGGTCTCGGCTGGCGTCGCACCGGCGGGTCCCTGGAAGTTTTGTGATTTTTGTTTATGCCCTTGTGAGGTGGTTGGTTGTTAGTTTGTAATTACGTTTTAGTCCTTATTGGGGTGCTCAATGCAAATATGTATTTATTGGAGGGTGCTTTAGGGGATTCTGATGTAGATAACATAGGAGGAGTCTAGGACGGTGAAGGCAGGCAACGACGACGGGATATGTGGAGGTGACGTGGCAGCGCATGGATGGTGATGTTGAGATAAGGCTCGGTGGATGAGTTAGCGTCCGGCCCTAATGACATGTGGGGCCAAACAAGCCGTGGTACGTCTTGGGTCCACACGCCAGTGACACAAGGGCTGAGTGCGTATGGCCCCGGTGCGTCTTTGCTTCTGTTGTTCGTTGCGGTGAAGAAAGGGACTGAGCGTGTGGGGTTTGGCCTTTTCGACTTTTTGAGATTTTCCGTGCACGCCTTCCAATGTCCAGATGGGGATGGTGACGCGCGAACTTCCCCCCTCCCGTGCGGTCCTTCCATGCTCCCCTTTTTTTAATAAGTCTTCCTCCAAAAACATAGACATACTTACTTAGGCCCTGTTTAGATCCCACTCAAAATCCAAAATTTTCCAAGATTCCCCGTCACATCGAATCTTGCGGCACATGCATGGAGCATTAAACGTAGGTAAAAAGAATAACTAATTGCACAGTTTGCCCGTAATTGGCGAGACGAATCTTTTAAGCCTAAATAGTCCATGATTGGACAATTTTTATCAAATACAAACGAAAGTGCTACAGTGTACATTTTCTAAACTGGAAGAGATCTAAACAGGCCCTTAGTTTATCTTAAGTCAAACTATTTTAATAACTTCGATAAAAAAAATTAGACATCATTTGACAAAACTTCTTTATCACCGGCTCCCCTACCTAATTTTTTTTTTCAATTAAATGAAAGAATGTTCTGTACAAACAAGAAAAGGGGAACAAAGAACCAACCAGCAAAAGAAACAAATACAAGGCAACAAGGCCCAAAAGATAAAAATGTGAAAGCTAATTGTAGCTATCTCTCCAAGATCAAGTGCAGCCTGTCTACTTGGCTTGGCCTTTATGCACAGAAGCCAAGTTTTCCTCTTTGAATTGCCTTTTCTAACTTTTATCCACGGATGGAGGGAGTATGTGCCTAGAAATATATTGAAAAACAATTGCATAATATCATAAACTTAATGTATTCTAAGACTATATTCTAAAATTAATTGAAAGATGTGTGTGCCCTTCCTCCATCTCATTCCCCACTATCGTTGCCGCCTTCTTGAGCAACGTGCGCAGATAATCTCCTGCTTGCTCAGTGCAATGTCGTTGCCCGCCGCCTGCTCGAATTATATCCGCAGCCTGAGCCTGACCTCCTCCTTTTCTTCTGTGACGTCCATGGATGACCTTTCCTTATTGTGAGTTTCCCCTAGCCTTCTCATACGGTCATACCCAATGGATGGATATGCATGCTAGACAGATAGATTGATTCACACGGTATGTTTCTTTTTTCCGTTGCAAGGCTGACGCATAAGCTTGATTTTCTATTCATCAACGAATAAAGCTGGAAGCGTTTCGTTACGTACTTATTACACGCCCATGTTGGGCCGGCCCAAGTCCAAACGGGCGCGAAGGACTCCAACACGGGAGACTCCATCACCCTGTTCGTTGGTTGGGGCTGGGCTGGAAGTGGCTGAAGTGGGCTAGTCATTTCAGCCCAGATCAACTGGTATATATACCAGCTAGGCCGCCGCTGGTCTCCCTCTCCCTCTCCCATTCGCTCGCGCCACCCTAGGGTTCCCCTTCCCAGCAGCCTCCTACAAACGCCGCCATCGCCCCCTCCCCTCCGATCTCCCGCAGCGGCCGCCCTCAACCTCGCGCCGTCCCATCGGACCTCCCCATCCGCCGCAGCCAAGCTCGCCGCCTCGCATCGGACCTCCCACATCCACCGCAACCAAACTCGGCCCCTCCCATCGGACCTCCTGCATCCGCCGTAGCCAAGCTCGGCCACTCCACCTCCCGCATCCGCCGCCTCCAACTCCGGCAGTCAGCCTCAGTCGTATCCACAACCGCGCTCACCCTTTAGAACCGCCCGTCTCCGAATCTGTCGTCGACGTCATGCTCCTCCAAGCAGTTCCGCCCATTTGTCGGTCACCGCCAGGGTCGTGGCCGCCAAGGTCGTCGTCGTCTCCACCGCCACAACCGGTAAGACTTCCGGATCTGTGTGCATTTTCTTTGTGAAATGGTCTGCCCAAGGATGGAGTATGGGGGTTACAACGGAGATTCAGATTTAGGTCTAGGGGTTTTACAAAGTTATAGTTCTGGTACATTTATTTATCTTTTCATTGGATTCTAGAACACTAATTCAAATTGTGTTTAGAGAACTATTGAAGTCGGCTGCGTATGCGTGCAGTCCAGTAGGAATTCCTTAGGGTGACCTTATGACTTACATTAAATATAGTAATAAGCGCCATCACTATTAACTAATCTAGATAGTAATATATACATTCTGATGAGGCTATACAGTAGCAGCAGATTAGTGTCATGCATGGCCTATCTATGGTTTGCAAAGCATTTTCAGTTTGATAATTAATATGGTGCCTTTGATCAGAAAAGTTAGGATATATATAACCATGTTTTCTGAATATTAGGTCTCGTCATTTGAGGTTAATCCTTGAACGGAAGTCTACTATATTTAATTTCTTTTATATTGGGTGGGGGTTTTATTTATGTAAGTAAGGATATTGTTTTTATTCAGTGCTATGAAGCTTCCTGTTCAACGTCTCTACATATTGCTTTTTCAAGGAAATGTTTCACCCAATTGTGCTTAGACATGGTCACATTACTTTGGTAAAGGCAAGTAACACATAGGGATGGGCCCCATGCTATGTTTTAGGCATACAATAGAGCATAATACAGCAACAATAACAACTTGCTTTAATTTTTTATTGCCCTTGGTAAGCTTACAATTGAATCATGCCTCAGTTTGTGCCTATATTGATTATGCTCAATGTTGGGTGGTTGGTGAGATGATGGATGTTGGCTGCAACCTTTCTGTGACTAGTTGTGGTACATGGAATTGCATGAGAGGTAGACATGGTCCAACAAATGGACATTAAAATTGAGTTATACTATGTGTGCCCATGTAGTTAATATCATTTGGGTTTTACAAAATCTTGGATATGACAACATTATGGTTTATGGATTTGTCAATCGAATTTTGTAGGCCCAAATCCGCCCCTGGTGCTGCGGGTTTCGTTTCAGCATGTCCAGCTAGTTTTGAGGTCAAAATTAGGGTGCGTAAGAACCCGTGCACTTGTGTTGCCTCTGTAATGCACATGTTAATACATTTCATAACTTACTTTGTCGTATTCCTTCGTTGTAGGAACCTTTGTGCAGTACCACATGCGCACCGCTCCCTACGCTGGCACTGTCATCCTCGTCATCCTGCTCGCCTCCTGCACGGCCGCGATACACCCTCCGTCCGCGGTCATCCAATCATTCATTCAAGGTGAGTTCAACTCCATCCCTTTCTCGTTGGACTTAGTTTTTGTGTGACCTCGTACGCGACTGCTTGCTACTCAAACCATGGTCCTACTATACACAACCGATGTGTACATTGCTGCTATTCAACAGATGCATGCTCCATGTGCGAACTGGAAAACAACACATGCCAAACTGCTGCTCGACATCTGTCAAAATGATAAGAACCAATACAACTGGTGTAAACAGGGTCCAAGTAAGGAAGGGTGGAGGAATGTGTACCAGGGTTGTAGGAATGCGGGGCTACCGTACGACGAGAAGCAAATCCGCAACAAATTCACTAACATGAAAAAGAATTTCCTCAACTAGCAAACCCTTCATATCAAGACAGGCCTCGGGCGGGACCCTACCACAGGGGCAGTTGTGGCCGAGGACTTGGCACCCAACCACACCGAAGGAGGAAGCCACAAAGCGGTAATATGCCTCCTCCCTTTCCTTTGTCCTTTTGCACTAATCCCAACATGTGGTCTTATTTGTCCTTTTGCACTAATCCCAACATATGTTTACCATTATGCAGGAACCGAGTGCAGATGCGGGAAAGTTTGGAGACCCCCCCCGCTGTCGGTGCGGGACCCATGGGATATCCCATAAGGAAGAGAGAAGATCTAGTCTAATTAGGATTCTCCCCATGTAATCTTAGTAGTAGTATTATTCTGTAATCCTACTAGGAACTCTCATTGTAAACCGACTAGGATTCTGACCTCCTGATTATATAAAGGAGGGCAGGGTTCCTAGAGACAGCGACAACAACTGTAACAACACAACAACACACAATCAATCCAACGCAAAGGCTAATGCCGACTGGACGTAGGGCTATTACTCGACTACAGTCGAGGGCCTGAACCAGGATAAATCGACTGTCTCTTGCGTTCACCGTCGAGTTCCGCGTACGCTGAAGCCCGAACATACTATCCTGGGTAACCCCGTGGCAGGCTATCGGTGGTCAAACATCGACAGCTGGCGCGCCAGGTAGGGGAGTTTGGTGAATTTGCATCCGAGAGCTCGATGGACCTCGACAGCATGATCTTCTCGACGGGATCAACTTTCATCTTCGGCTCATGGATCTGCGAGGCGGATGACAATGGCAAGCTCCAAAGCCATCTCCTCGAAGATTCGACCATGAAGACTATTCTATTTCGACAACTACGACAGATCAAATCACCGGAAGATTCGCGCAGCTCATGATGTCCGATTCAACTCAGGTTTCGTGGATTTGCGCATCCGACTCGAACTCAGGCTCCGCATCCGAGATAGAGTCTTATTCGAGTTCTTTCG